GATCACCTGCACGCACAACGGCAGTGAGCTACCCGGCGGTGTGTGGCCGGAAAACCCCTCCGACGATCAAGTTAGCACACGCCTAAGGGTCAAATAGAGAGAAGGGAGAGTGTTGAGTGTTTAGTGTATGTCTCACCAAATGTTCATCTGTCCAGGCATGGGGGGCACAGATTTGCTTATATACCTTCTGTGCCCCAAATCTACTCCCAGTGATCTCTCGACACGTGGTTCTGCTATCCTATCTGTCAGCACAAATATTGCTGAACATCACCTAACCCGACTGCCAGCCCACTTTACTGGGAGCTCGGCAGCCGGGCTGAATCTTCTCGGCTGTGGACGGCCATGCTGTGTTCCATGCCTAATTGCTCCAAGAACTGAGATCCTTTCTAGCCATGCCCGGCAGCATTCCGGCGGAGCTGACCTTCAGACAGGTCGAACCGGTCAACCAAAGGCCATCCAGTCGGGCTTTTGGCACAAGCTTCTCGACCGGGCTAACGGTGCGAGCTCTTGACCGAGCAACTCAAGTTGCGCGGTTATCGCCTGTGCAAATCCAAGTGGCTCGATCTATCTCTGAGCAGCCCCGACTCCGGGCAAATCCAAAGTTATCGCGGCCCAACGTACCATTGGGCTTCCAATTTGCTCGGTCTCTAACTCGGCCCATAACCGGCTCATAATTCTCCCTCTCATTTTGTATGACTATTAAAAATTATTGTGATCACATATTACTTATCATTTGATATATTATTGTTGTATTGTCGTAATGAATTTTATTATTAATATCTATTATCAATGTAGTAGTGAGATGTCACATGATAAATAAAAATATGTTTTATTATTGTTATTGATAATATATTTCTTTATTTACCTTTTTACAATATTAAAAAAATTAATTTATGTTTATTGTTAGTTTTTGTAGATGAGAAGTCAAAAATAAATTTTAACGAAATTCAAGTTATACCTAATTTGAGATTGAAAAGGAAATTTCAAAAGAAATTATAATTATATATAATTTTAAAATATTTTAAAAAAAATACAAGAGAAAATTGGAACTGTAAGTTAAAATTATGAAACAACCTAATTCTATGAAAAAATTTAAATGAAAAATTGATCAGTTTTGAATTTATAATTATTAAATATTTTTAATAAGTCACTAATTTTTTTTATTCCAGCTCTAGCTTTTTTTGTCTTAAATAGTTTTTCAGATATAAATATATCTTGATATTGATACAATCAATATTAGACATATTTTAAGAAGGGTAAATTATATCGATAGTCCCCGCATTTTGTCTCTTGTGTCAATTTGGTCTCTGTAATTTCAATTAGTTTGATTTTTACTCCTAATTGTAGATTTTGTATTAATTTGGTCCAATTGATAATGCCAGTTAAGATTTTTGAAAGAAAATAGTGATTAAGTTGGTTGAGATTAACTTATTGAGTTGAACAATTTTATGATTTTTTCTATAAAAGTATAACATATGCTATTCATTTGTGTATTTTCAATATAAAAAAAAAACTAGCAATTATGAGAATTGGACCAAATTGAGATAAAATTATAAATTTATAATTAAAATTGAGCAAATTAAAATTGCAAGGACAAAAATAACACAAGAGTTAAAATATAGGGATTGCCAATGTAATTTATCCTTTTAAGAATAAGTACATAATTTCTTAATTAATTTTGAAATTTTTAATAAATATATTTGTACATATTTCCTATTTTTATTATACATTTTTAAAAAATATATATTTACTGATTAAAAATTAAATAAATAGGTAGGTCTACTAACTTATGGATTAGACATAAACTACACGATTCTCTAAGAACTAGGCTTAAATCAAGAATTATTAGCAAAAAAAATTGACTTGAACTAAATTCTTTTGGCTACTTTTTAGTGTTTAATCTAATATTAGAACTCTCAAATTAACTCATATCAGTCACGAACTGATAAACTATGATATAATTTAAATATAAAATTTAAATTTATTAGGACTAGAATACGACCTACAATTTAGAATGACTTTGTCTTGAATAATTTTTTTGTACATAAATATATATAACTATTCATTTAATTGTTTTAAACATAAATATATAGCTTTTTTTAAAAAACTATAGTTCAAACTTTTTAATAAATATGCATAAAATAAGTCTATATTTCTTATTTTTATTATAAAAAAATATTTACAAATATTTATTTACTAATTTAATAAATAGATAGGTCAAATGATTCATACTGTAAATGTGAATATTATTAGGGATATTTTGATAACTATGTCAATCATAGGACTTATTAGAATATAAAAAAATAATGTGAATTAAATGAAATATAAGTAAATAAACAGGGATATATGAAAAAATGCTGCTTTTTAAAATGATGTGGATTAATTATATATTTTTGTGTTTTTTTTCTTCTTTTTTTTTTCTTCTTGGACCAATTATAAATGAGTAAAAATTATGAAAATTGTATTTTTTGGAGACATGTAGCATCGTTGCTGTGAGTAAAGATCCTCTGTAGTGCAACTTGTAGTATTTTCGCTGTGATTGTAGCATTGTTTTTTTCTTTTTTTTTTACAAGAAAATACTCCCACTCTCCCGCACGTCTAGGGCAGCGCCCCTTGCAGAAATTATCAAAGTGTCCTGTTGTCTGTTCCGAGATAGAAGACTATAACTTGGGAACTTGTCCCAATCTCCTAAGATAAGCTCCGCTTAAATCAGGACTCGAGCAGCGGGAGAGTATTAAGCCTACACCAAGTATTGTGGTAACAACAACTTAAGACTAAACTCCTAACCAACTATCCTACGCCTAAGAAATTGACCCAAAAAATTGTGAACTTAAAACCTAAAGTCTTAATTCTCAAGTCTTTACCAAGTTACCAAACAGGCTAGGCAAAAGACAACACATTTATTTGTCTGTTCTAAGGATTGACTTTTTGCACATTTATTTGTCTGTTCTAAGGATTGACTTTTTGCTCAGGACGATGAGCGTGAAACCTTACAAAAAAATCAAATCAGGATCCTTTAGAGATTTTTTTTATAGAGTCATCTTATCAGCATCTTTTAGAGATTTTTTAATAGAGTGATCTTAAATTGATCTTTTGAATGGTTAAAATTTAATTTTATAAAAATTAAGGATATAATAATATTAAATTAAAAATATAATAGTACTGATAATTACTTTTTAAAAAAATCTCAATCGTATTTTAAAAATTACTTTAAGAAAAGTCATTCTAATATAAATTAGCAGAGTGTAAATTGTGTTTTTTTTTTTTAATTTTATTTTTACTTGTATGGGATTTTATTTTACGTGTACTTTATTAATTTTTCAAATAATAATGCGAAAGAAGCTTAAAATATTATGAATAAATTACAAATATATCCCTTGAGATTTGATTAAAATATAAATCATTTTTTGTAGTTTTGAAAATTTCATTTCATCTCCTAAGGTTTCTAATTTCATAACAAATCATCTATTTTATTAATAAATTATCAAGTCAATTAATAGTTTTTAATCATGTTAAAAATATGTTTCAATTAATAAATTAGGTAATTTTATTGTTATGTAAGAGAGCAATTATAAATTTTATTTTTTTTAGTTAATTTTGTTAAATAAAAAATTCTAATAAAGGAGTATTTATAATTTTTTAAATTATAAAAGATAATCTGTATTTTAAACAAAATTTAAGGGTGTATTTATGATTTATCCAAATATTATACTGACATGATAGGGGGGATTGGGTTTGAATTGGTTGAGTCTAGTCTTTGTTTGGAAAGACGGGTGGATTAAAAGAGTTCATTAAAAGATAAAATAAGTTAAAATAATTAATAAGACAAAATATCACATGTAATTCATAATTATTTTACTTTTTTCTCATAATCATCAAATCAACTATAAAAAAAACCAATCAGTTTCTTAAAATAACTTTTTTAGTCAGGTTAAAATAGTTAAAAAGTCAAAAAATCAACTAAAATAGTCAATTTTCCAAATAAGACCTCAATAATAAACAATTGACATTAGATGCAAATTTAAGAGTGATATTTTAAGGTTCTTAAATATTTTCTAATTCTAGTTTTTATATTCATTATTCCCATTTATTAGTTATTTCCCAAGTAACAACTCCACCCATGAATAGCTTAGTAGCAAAAAGTCCGTTTTGAAACAAATTGTAAGTTTAAACATTCAAAGAATAGAGTATACCTTTAAATTATAAAATTTCAATCAAACTCAATTTGATAGAAGTCAGATTCAAAGAACAGAGTTTTCGTTTTGAGCATTATAAAACTTACAGGCATTTCAAGTTAACTTATTTCTCTCCTCCCCCCCACCCCCCACCCAAAACACACACACAAAAAAAGATATGTTCATAGTTTACAGCATTATAAAACTTTAGAGCTGTTACAAGACCCAAAATTTTCAGACTCAAATTTGCCCCGAATCCAAAACGATGTCGTTTTGAATTTTTTTTTTATTTTTTTTTATTTTTTCTTTCGTTTTGGAATTTTCTCTTTTGAAGATGAAAAGAGAACAGAAGCAGAAGCAAAAGAAGAAGAAGAAGAAAAGAGACGAGGAAGATCAACAGCCAACATCTTCCTCAACATTTTCAGACAGCCAACATCTTCATCATCTTCAGATCAAATCCACTAGAAAAATATATATATATATATCAACAACATCATCATCATCATCATCAACAACATCTTCATCAACATCATCATCATCAACACATTATCATCACCCAAAAAAAAAAAAGATTCAGATCCGATTCAGATCTGAATCTTCGATCACCGCCATCACCGTCGATCTTCCTCCTCCGCCATCACTGTCTTCTTCTCTTCCTCCTCCTTCTCCCCATCTTTTCTCCTTCTTCTCTCTTCCTCTTCTCTTCTCTTTTCTTCTCTCCTTTCTCTCTCTCGCCTCTGTCTGTCTGTGTTCAAAAACCAGAAAAAAAAAAAGCAAGAAAAGGAAAAAAAGGAAAAAAAAAAAAAAAAGAAACGCAAAACAACGTCGTTTTGGATTTTGAGCTAACGATTTCAAACCCTCAAACAATTTTCATAAAACCTACAGGCATGTCAAGTTAACTTATTGCCATTCCTTCATTTGCTTACATGTATACCTAGATGTCATGATCTCATCCCTTCAACAATTATTCCATTCACTAAAAAGATAGTTTGTAACAAAAACATCACAAAAAGGAAACATTAACTGTCCCTGAAGCCAAAAGTAGCTAGAGCAAGACTGACTGAGTACCAGTATTGCCTAGAGAAAACCCTTCTCTTTGCAGCATTGAATTGCTCCATTGTACATTTCTTCAAGGCCATACTTATACTTGAACCCAGTATCCAACAACTTCTTTGAGGACAGATTACTACGTGAGGTACATTCAATTTCTTTGAAGGAACTGCAAAAATACATGGGGCGAAGACTGAGATATGTTTTTCTGACGAAGGAAAATAACAAGAAAAAATTGGGAAAAGTAAATAAGATTAGAACTCACTCCGGTGTTGGTATTGGACATTCTGGGTATTTGGCAGATAGAAATTCAAACAGCTTATCAATTGTTAAGTCAACTGCCAAACACAAATACCTCCCTTTTGCATCAGGGTATTCAAAAAGGAAGATATGTGCACTGGCCACATCGTCTATGTGCACCATTTGTAATTTAGCAAGAGAACTATATTTATCTTTTTTGCCTGCATTGAATCAAAACCACACACAAAAAAAAAAAAAAGAAGAAGAAGAAGAAAGAAAGAAAAGAAATAATGAAGAATAAACTCAACATATGACTTCAAACCCCAACTATTTTACAATGAATCGTTCTAGAACACATAAATTAGTCATAGAATCAAACATGAAATCTATATGAAAAATTTTACAAGATCTTTTAGAAGTGGGTCCTATCAACAAATTCTTTAAAATCTTGTCAATTCATGTGCATTTTGTGTTCTATTATATGTTTGATTTCTGTGTTCGTAGTAGAACTGTTTTACAATACTCAAATCAGATAATTTCGATAATCTGAAATACTTCTAGCAAAATTCAAGAAGAGTAAGGTCATGAGAAACAACACGTACCGTGCATCATAACCATTGCAGTGTCTACTGAACTAGGCACACGAGGACAAATGAAGGGTCCATTGATTAGGGAAGGAATTACAGTGATGAGATCCAATCCATGTTTTTCAGCAAACTCTAGAGCAGCTTTTTCAGTTAATGTCTTTGAGATCATGTATGAAGCTCCATAAGGATTTAAGGATCTAATAAAATCTACATCACTCCAGTGACTCTCATCCAAAACATCTAAACCCTTCTCATTAAACATAATGGTAGATGCGCTAGAAGTGTATATAACTCGCTTTATGGTCTTTGATTTAAGGCATGCCTTTAAAATTCCAAGGGTCGCGTTGATAGCTCTTTGGGTCTTGACCTCTTCAGGTTCTTTGTCCTCAAAATCAAGTGGGTGAGCAACATGGAAGACTCCAATGCAACCTTGGATAGCTTCATCAAAACTATCTGGTTGGGCAAGATCTGCATTGAAAATTTGAAGCTTTTCTGATGCACCGGGCAGGTCTGTGAGGTAGCTAAGGTCTTTCTTGCTGTCTGGTGAGGAAACCATGGATGAAAAACATCAAAATTTCATGAATTTGTACTTGACATACAATTTGGTATGAAAAATAACAAAGACACATCTATAAGCACTTTTAAAATCTGTTTTGTAGGAGTGGAAACTTGTAAATGGGTACTACAACTGATAATTCTAGAAGAAATGTATAATAAAGTTTAACATGACCGAGCAAGCCAAACACGTCACACATACCTAGCCTATGAGGAAAAAACACTCGCAAGTCCGAGGTGCTAGTCCAGAAGACAACATAAACTCTCCAATCCTAGAGGATCAGTTCCACAACAACGCACAAGAGATAAGAACTGGACCTCATCTTCTTGTTCATTCGCCTCATCTTCTTGTTCATTCTTTTTGTACTTAATGATAATTTATAACCATTATTCAAGCTTGCTTGATTTCATCAAGTTCTTCTACCTTAAACACCCGTGCACACATAGGACCTGAAGTGTTTCCATTTGAGGGAAACTGGTTCATATATTCTCTCTTTTGTTTAATGCCATATAAGTTGGTTCTTAGACGAGGATATAATTTGCAGAGCATGATTAATTAAACACTTCAAGGAAGGCCTTGTAATTGCAATTGTAAATAACCATATAATTTACATATTATAAAAGGAAAATAGTTGAGTATTTTAACATATCCATTCTCAAATTAAATATGTATATAGTTTAATATTTCTTTATCTTAACATAACATAAAGGAGGTCACTTCCTGTTCATGCTTTGCACAAAGATTCTCAATAGAATACTCACCTATATCTGTATATATAGACAGATAGAATACAAACAAAATTTATATATAAAAAGTTCATACATAATGGTATGTTGCACATCTATATCTCTTCGTTGGAAATCACAAAACCCCTTCCTATAATTCAAAATTACAAATATTTTACTGTCACATCATTTAATATGACTTCTCTATATAAAAATTTGGATAAATTACACTGATACCCTTGAGGTTTCTATTTAAGCCAAGTTTGGCAACTCTAAAAAAAGTTAAAAAGTTAACTCAAAAAATTAAAAAGTTATCACTATTTACAAAAAAAAATATATTAAAAAAATAATTTCCCACACTCATACAACTCAGCCATCATGAAAAGTCAAAGGGGCTGTGCAGCGTTTGTCCCAAGTATTAGACAGTTTGGGGCAATTTTTCACACACAGCTGTTCGGCCCGTGGGGGCCTATCATGGGTCCCGTTTTGATAATCTGAACCGTTGAATGTGTATAAATCGTCGAGTACTATATGTCTGTAAAAAATCACATTGATCGGATATCGATAACTATATAATCAAATCAGTTTTGTATGAAAAAATGGATCGTGTTATAATTAACGATTGAAAAAAAAACAAATCTGATCAGATAGCTATCGATATCCGATCAACGTGATTTTTTATAAGCATATAGTGTTCGACGAGTTCTACATATTGAACGGTTCAGATTATCAAAATGGGACCCGTGATGGCCCCCAGGGGCCGAACAAAACAGTCCACTACAATGTCCGAAAAGTACCCAATAATTTCTTACCAAGAATTCGGCTGCCAGATTGTACAGCTGTCATTCACTCATTTCCAATCTTCTCCTACACATTTCTTTATATAATTTTTTAATACACATTTTTTCATAAAAAGTCAAAAAAGTTAACTCAAACATCTATATTTTTTTCCTCAACTTTTTAATCCAAAAAGACAAAAAGTGCACTTATTTAGGACACCCCAAACAACCCCTTAATATAGATTCCTCCCTCACATTTAAAAAAATTACAATTACCCCCATGTTAGATTAAATGACACATTTACCCCTTAACCTTTATACATATACAATAATAAAATAATGTTAATATTTTGTTCATATCATTTCAAGAGAAATAATAATCAACACACAAAAAGTTGATTTGTTTTTATTTTTCCTGTTTTTTTTTTTTACTGATTTTTTAAAAATATTTTAAGCAAATTTTTTTTTTAAAAAAATGCACCTAATCTATATATACTTAAGAAGGATAATATTTTATGATTTTTTTTTTAAAATTCACCAAATAAAAAAAAATACAAAAATTCAATAATACTATAATAAATGTGAATGACGGTGTTTGATAATATTGTAATAAATGCAGGTAAATAGACGAGAAAGAAAAATGATGGCTGAAATAAAAATGAAAAATTCTATTCATATATAAAAATTTATACAAAAAATATCATAAAAATATTGTGATGGTAATGTTATTGTAAATATAAATCATGTTTATAGGTGTTTTGTTTTAAAGTGAAAAGTCACCATTAAACTATATCATTATGCTAGAAAAATTTATATAAAATTTATGTTGGTATATCATCACTCAATAAAAATATGTTCAGGTAGAATTTAATGATAGAAAGTTATAGAATGTAATCATGATGATAGGAAGAAGACATGGTAGGCAAAAGGGCAAAATAGTCATTTAGGAAATTTTAGAGTATGACATCAGTAATTCAGGGAGCAATTTGTAATGAGATTACAAATTTCAGGGAGAGGAATATAATTTTTCAAACGTAAGAGAAGAATCTGTATTAAACAAAAACATCAGGGAGTGTCAATGTAAGTTACTTTAAAATTTTTGTATGTTTAGACCAGTCCTAGCTAAGGTTGGGCACTCAAAATTTGGCCCAAAATAGGGTCCCAAAATTCATTAGCCCCTTGTAATATATATAAAAAATTCAAATAGGCCCAATCCCTTTTATTGATTGAGGCTTAGGGGTGTTTAATAATATAATTTAGCACTTAAAACTAAATAGATTAAGTGATAATCAATTAAGTCCATTTGATAACCATAATTAATATCACTTAAAAATTTAAGTGCATCTTCAAATGTAAACTAAAACTTAAGAAAATTTTAAGTCACATAAAACTTACTTAGTTCTGACTGAATTATAAATATTATAAACTCATTACCACCACTGCTTCCACTACCACCAAAAGCATCATGCCATCGCCACCACTACCACCATGTCACTGCCATCGCTACCACTACCACCATGTCACTGCCATCGCTACCACTACCAACACCACAACTATCACCATCATGTCACCACTACTACTATGTCACCGCTACCACTACCACCATTGTCGCCACCATTATGCCGTTGCCACCACCATTACCACCACCACCACTACTACCATCACCCTCGTCACCATTGTTATTATTGCCATAAACATCACTATCATTTTACTACTACTATCACCGCTACCACCACCACGACGCCACCGCTACCACCACTATGCCACTCCACCACCACCACCACTACCATTATCACAATATAAAAATTAAAATATATAATTTTAAAATAATAAATTTTAAATTTTATCTTACACATATCAAACAACTTATTTTTAATTCAACACTTAAATTTTTATCAAACAACTTTTCAACTTAAAAAATTTAACATTCAGTTTTTAATACTTAATTTTCAGTCTTTGATTTTTAGTTTCAACAAACACCACCTTAGTTTAAACGGCTCCAAAAAAAAACCCGTTGGGCTCAATTAAAAACAAAAATTATTTATAAATTTTATTGGGCCCAATCTGATTTTATATTAGTTTTAGGGTCCAAACAGAGCATCCTCCTTCAATATTCATTCTCCCTTTAATTGAGTTTTGGTTTCATTTGATGTTTAAAATATTCATTCTCCCTTAATTGAGTTTTGGTTTCATTTGATGTTTAAATTAATAAATTGCACATTTATTCATAAATCCCTCTTCACTTACTTATGTTCTACTTAGTCTAATTTATTTTCCTATGTTCCACTAAGTTCTATGAATGACATAATTACCAAAATATTCCTAATAATGTTCATATTGACAATGTGAATATTTCACATTGTCAATGTGAACATTTGAATATTCACATCATCAAGTTGCTAAGCTTTTAAAAAAATATTTGCAAAGGTAAAAATGTGTACAAAATACCTTAAATATGATAATTAAGATTTGGTAGATCAAATGTCTAAATAATAAAACTTATTGGAATACGAGAATATGTTATAGACTAATTAAGGTATAATTACTTGAAAAATGATTTTCTAATAAATCCATCACAAATTATATCAATCGTTGTTTAAAATAATTTCTATATTCATTCTTCCCTAATTGGTTTTGATTTCATTACAATTAAATTCAATATACATTTGCTAACAAATTATTAGTTCCATTCTCAAAAAAAAAATATTTCCAATCAATTTTTTTGGTATACTTTTTGCTCTTGAATTTTTTGCTTATTCTATGCCCTTAATTTTTATTTTATTTTTTTGTAATTAGTTTTTGCTATTATTATTATTATTGTTACTATCATTATTTTTGGCTTTGTACTTGTAAAGGGATTTATTAGGAAAACATTTTTTAAGTACTTATATTCTAATTAATCCATAACATTTTCTTGTTTTCCAATAAGTCATATTATTTGGATATTTGATCTACCAAATTCTAATTCTCATATTTAATGTACTTTATGAATAATTTTATCCTTACAAATATTTTTTAAATGCTTAGCAACTTGGTGATATGAATATTCATATTTTATAGTGTAAATGTTCATATCACGGAGCATTCACACTGACAACGTGAATATTATTATTAGGAGCATTTTGATAATTATGTCACCTGTAAAACTAATTGAAATATAAAAAAAATAATTTAAAATAAGTGAAACCTAAGTAGATGAATAGAAATTTATGAATAAATGCCCTATTTATAAATTCATTAAAAATTTACTCTATGTATTGTTCTGCTTTGACCTAGTTATTATTTGCATCAATCATTACTATTGTGTGTGAAAATATTCTTTCAAGAATCTGACATATTCTTCCTATTTCAATGAGTCACGAAACATATCCTTCACATATATAAGGGGGTTTTTTATTACATAATTTGCATATGTAGGTTGATTTTTATGAATTGCGGATTGGAATGTGATTGATGTAAACATGCTTTTAAAAATAAAATAAAATAAAAAAATTAAAGAACAATAGTAAATTTTATCTTTTGAGATATTCTTATCTTATTCGACGTTACTAAATTTTGGTGATTATATATGCAAATACATTTGTGTGTACTAGCAAATATATATATATATATATATATTATTTTCATTATAAAATATTAGTATATCATTCGTACTATGCACGTGATAAAATAATATATTATTTATTAAAAATAGATAATTATATTTAATTTTTTTATATTTTGTTTCTCCTAAATAAAATTTTATATACAAGTTTAAGAGTTTTGTTTCAAATATTCCTTTACTATAACGGCCCTGTTTGGTACAGCTTAAAAGCTGCTTATTTCAACTTTCAGCTTAATTTAAGTTATTTTAATGTGTTTAGTTTAGCTTATAGCTTATAACTTTTTGGAAGTCAGAAATCAGTTTATTCTTTGAGTGGGGCAGGAGATGCTTAATTTATAAGTCAGAAATCAGCTTATGTTCATAGTTATAAGCTATAAGCTGTTTAGGCATAAGCTATAAGCACTTTCTCACAGCTCTACCAAACAGGGCCAACATATAGTATAAACAGATTAAAATTGTTGAATTGACAATTAATAATTAAAATTATGATTTGTTATAAAAAAAAAATGACATTGTTCGAATATTTCACTATTTTAGAATAAAAATATATGAATTTTAAAAAGTTGTCATATTGGTTTTTGAAAGGGAAATAATTAAAGAAATTTTAAAAATTTAATAAGTAAGAAAGAATTATCGTAACATGTAAAACCGCTAAAATCATGATTAAACCAGCAAATCAATCAAACCAAAAATGGTTTACCTTAATCAGTTAGGTCAAAAGACTAACCAGCTTACACAAAAATTAATTAATTAATTAGAATTTTTAAATTTTATTTTATTAAAATTTAAACTGTCACGAAATATGGAAAGCAATCTATTAATTTAAATTTAAAATTGACACAATATAAATTTAAAATTATAATAATCTATCACATGATTTATAAGTTTTAAATACAAATTTAAAATTATCATAATTATCTCATAATTTTTGTATTAAGGAGCAGTAAGAATGATGTTGAGATTATCAATATATCTATTTATTTAATAAAAGAATGCTTTTAAGAAGAGATATTATGAGAGTTTCAAAATCTCGTACAAAATTATTTTAAAATCAAAACATCTATGTGAGATTGTAAAATAAAAGTTAAATTGAAACTAGCCAATCGGGATTTTCTTAATTGTTTTAAATTAAGAAAATCAAAAAAATTAGTATGAGATATTGATCATATGGCTTCTCATTAAAAATCTCATTTTGCTTATATAAATGGGAATATAAGATTCACTTTTCTCTTTTTTCTCGATGCGAGATTGTAAAATAAAAAATAAATGAAAGCTAACCAATGAAAATTTTCTTAATTGTTTAAAATTAAGAAAATTCAATAATTTTAAAATGAGGGTTTGAAACTCCTAGAAGGCTTCTCTCTAAAAACCCCTTTTACCTTATATAATATATAGATTAGTTCCTTATTCTATTTTTTATTATTTTAAAATATTAGTCTATTCTCAAAAATTAAATACGAAAATAACATGAATTTTCTATTTTGCACTTCTTTTAAATTCATTAACATTAATATTTTTTAAGTGTAAAAATTGTATTACCAAAGGATAATTTTGAAAAGTTAATATTTTTAGAATGTAATAATTGTATTACTAAAAAAAAAGTTAGATTCTCTAAAAGAAACTAATATTTTAGACAAAAAGAGTATATATAATTGTAAGCACTTAATATTTTACCTATTATTTTATTTTATTTTATTTTTAAATAAGGATAATAAGTAAAAAGGGTCTCAATTTTAGAAGGTCACCAAGGCCATCTCCAGCTCTTTATCAAATCAGATATTAAATTTAAGGGCAAATTACAAACACCGCCTCGAGATTTGGTGAAAATACAGGTTCCTCTCTGAGATTTAAGAAATTACAAATTGTCCCCTGAGGGTCAAATTTTCATAACAAATTAGGAAACATTAGGGGGAATCTGTATGAAAATAAAATTCTCAGGGGGCAATTTGTTATGGAAATATAAACATCAGGAGGTGGGATGTAATTTCTCAAACCTCAGGGGAATCTGTTTTTTCACCAAATCTCAAGGGGTGTTTGTAATTTGCCCTAAATTTAAATTTGATGAAAATTCAAAAAAACTTAGCTCCAATCGTTTTATCAAATATATATTAAATGAAGGGAGAAATACTTTTTCATCAAATCAAAGAGTTTTATCTTTTTATCAAATTTACAGGTGATAGATGTCTTCATAGACAATCGGATTTGGGATGAATTAGCTATTTTGTAAAAAAAATTGACAAAAATTTACTCTTCACCAGATCACTGGCTAAATTGATGAAAATCATTAGAATACATTATATCATATTAAACTTTTTATTAAATTTTTACTCAAATTCAATAAAACTTTGGAGATGTCTACCATTTGCAATACACATATCCATCTATATATGTATGTATGTCTGTACATCATTTATATCTATGTAATAAAATTCCCCAACAGTTCATACAAAAAGTGTTGTTAAATTACTATTATATGTTTGGACTTTTTATTTAGATCGTACGGCCCAAACTATCCTCATCCTGACAAGCAAGAATCAGGGTCTTTGCAATGACTTGGGGTCTTGAGTTCATAAAGGTTACCCTCAAATTCAACATGATCTAATTGAAAACCCATGAGATTTTCAATCATATACATACATGAAAGTGATCACTAGTGTACGAAAAGCAAAGAGGCAGATTAATTACCTGGGTTATGAGATCTAACTGTAGTTCTAACTCTGTAACCATGTTCAAGTAGCTTCATGATCAGCCATGACGCAACATACCCTGTTCCACCTGTTACACAAACACTACCCTTAGCATCACCCCCTTCCATCTCTCTCTCTCTCTAAAATGATGTGTGTTCGCATATATGCACACACATACATATCTCTATATATAGTGGTGCTTCAACATCACAGAGCCAAAAATGCTTGTTTTTTCACATTCCTATTTTGCCCTTATTTTTTAAAAAAATTTCCATTTTGCGCTGTGTGTGTGTGTGTGTGTAAAGTTTTGTGGGTTATTTTGGGACAATCAAATTTCATAGAGATACTGGTCTTGTTTGGTTTGTGTTTCCTAAAAATTTTGGGAAAAAATTCTCTATAAATAAGTTTTCAAAAGTAATCAAACTAAATAAATTTTTCTAAAAAAATTTCCCAAAACTTGTTTGGTTTATAAGTTTTCCAAACAAATCTCTCTCTCATACACATCAAATCAATCACTTTTTTCAAAACTCTCTCTCAAAATAATTTTTCAAAACATCTTTTGAAAAAAACCAAACCAAACAACTTTTCGTACTTTTTATCTCTAAAACTCATCTCCCAAACTCAAACCAAACATACTTATTATTTGTAGATAAGTTTATTTGCCCGCAGTATAAACTTTCAGTACACAATAAAAATAGTATTCAGATATAAATATTCAAATAAAAGTCAAATGTTCAAATATAAATTTATGAATATATAATAATTGTTTGGATATAAATAATTGAACGAAATATATATATTCAAGGATAAATTATGTAAATGGTCTATGTAATTTATACAATATATCAATTTGGTCCTTATTAATTTAATTTCCTCGATTTTGCCTTTAATTTAACAAATTGTGTCATATTGGTTCAAGAAATAACGGACATTAGGTTTAGTGGATAGAAACTCAAACGATGTGTCAATTTAGTTCATGTAGTTTACAAAATGTGTCAATCTAGTCCCTGTCAAAATCGAACAAATTAAAATAGTAGGGATTAAATTGATACATCGTGTAAACTATAAGGACCAAATTGATACATTATTGGAGCACATGACGACTTTTCGTCTACCAAACTTAACAGACGTTATTTATTGGACCAATATGACATAATCTATAAAATTAAGGGATAAAATCGAACAAATTAAAACAATAGGAACTAAATTAACATATCGTATAAATTACATGAATCATTTGCATAATTTACCATATATTTAAACAGTTTATTTTCATTCATAATCTTAAATTCGAACATTTGACATATATCTGAAAGTTTATTTTCAAACACCATTTGTGGTATATGTTGATATTTTGTAGGAGCTTTTTTTGATAAATCCACTTTCTAAAAATTTTATTCCATCCAACCCATATTCTTTTTTACTATTCCACTAGGTCCTATTTGAGATAAGAAGACCAAAATACCCTTTTCATCTACTTATGTTCCATTTAGTTCACATTATTTTCTTATGTTTCAATAAGTCCTATGGGTGACATAATTACCAAAGTACCCCTAATGTGAATGTTCACACCGTTAATATGAATGTTCATATCGTCAATGTGTAGGGGCCCGGCCCATGTCAATCCTCGTGGGTGTCCGGAAAAATTCGAGTCAGGCCGGGGCGGGCCCGGCCCATTGACAATGTGAATATTCACATTGATATGTTAACATTCACATTAATAGGAGTGTAAAATTGGCCCGCGTCCCGTGGCGACGCGAAAACCCACCTGCGGTCCATGGGCGGCCCAGAGCGGGCCCGGTCCGGCCCGTTGACAATGTGAATATTCACATTGACATGTTAACATTCACATTGATAAGAGTATAAAATTGGCCCGCGACCCATGGGCGGCCAAAATCCCGCCCACGGCCCGGGGCGGGCCCGGCCCGTTGACAATGTGAATATTCACATTAGCATGTTAACATTCACATTGATAGGAGTGTAAAATTAACTCGCGCTCGTGGCTGCCCGAAACCCGCCCACGGCCCGTAGGCGGGCCGAGACGGGCCCGGCCCGGCCTGTTGACAATGTGAATATTCACATTGACATATTAACATTCACATTGATAAGAGTATAAAATTGGCCAGCGGCCTAGGACGGGCCCGGCCCGGCCCATTGACAATGTGAATATTCACATTGACATGTTAACATTCACATTGATAGGAGTGTAAAATTAGCTTGTGCCTCGTGGCTGCTCGAAACCTGCCCACGACCCGTGGGCGGCCCCGGGCGGGCCTGGCCATTTTTTTTAATTCTTTTTAATTTTTTCTACCAAAATTTTATTATTTTCTGCAAAAAAAGACACTAGGCCTCGGCGCGGGCCGGGCCTCAGACCGAACCTTGAGTGGACCTTAACCGGGCCGATGGGCCTGGTCGGGCTTCAAAGTGATGGGCCAGGCCCTAGCCTAGGGTCTTGGACTAGGCTCGAGCCTGGGCCCAAACGAGCCTTTCTCGGGCCGGGTCGGGCCGGCCTATGGGCCAAAAAATTAGGACCAGGCCCTAGCCCTGGCACAAGGGTATTCGGGCTTTGGACGGGCCGATGGATCGAGCCTCGGGTCAAGCCGGTGGGCCTGGGCTTAGCCTCGAGCTTAGGTCAGGCTTAGGCGGGCCTGGCCATTTTTTTTAATTCTTTTTAATTTTTTCTACCAAAATTTTATTATTTTTCACAAAAAAATACATTGCGCCTCGGGCGGGCTGGGCATCGGACCGAGTCTTGAATGGGCTTTAAGCGGGCCGATGGGCCGGGCTAGGCTTCAAAGTGATGACCTAAGCCTTAACCTAGGGTCTCAGACATGCTCGGGCCCGGACCGGAACTAGCCTGCCCCGAGCCGTGGGCGGGCTTTAGGTAGCCTACGGGCCGCGGGCCAATTCTACATTCCTATCAATGTGCATTTTAACAGGTCAATGTGAATATTCACATTGTCAACGGGCCGGGTCGGGCCTACCCCGGGCCGCAAACAAATTTTACACTCCTATCAATGTTAATGTTAACATGTCAATGTGAATATTCACATTGTCGCGGGTCGGGCCAAGCCCGCCTCAGGCTGCGGTCGAACTTCGGGCTGCCTACGGGCTGCGGGCAAATTTTACACTCTTATCAATGTGAATGTTAACATGTCAATGTGAATATTCACATTGTCAACGGGTTGGGTCGGGCTCGTCCTGGGCCGCTGGCTAATTTTATACTCTTATCAATGTGAATGTTAACATGTCAATGTGAATATTCACATTGTTAACAGGCCGGGCCGTCCATGGGCCGTGGGCGGGTTTCGGGCAGCCACGAGGCGCGGGCTAATTTTACACTCATATCAATGTGAATGTTAACATGTCAGTGTGAATATTCACATTGTCAACGGGCCGGGCCGGGCTCGCCCCGGGCCGCGAGCGGGCTTTTGGCAGCCCATGGACCACGAGCCAATTTTATACTCTTATCAATGTAAATGTTAACATGTCAATGTGAATATTCATATTGTTAACGGGTCAGACCGGGCCCACCTCGGGCCGCCCATGGGCCGCAGGTGGGTTTCGTGCCACCACGGGACGTGGGGCCAATTTTACACTTCTATTAATGTGAATGTTAACATGTCAATGTGAATATTCACATTGTCAATGGGCCGGGCCCGCCCCGGCTTGTAGGTGGGTTTCGGGCCGCCCACGGGCCAATTTTACATTCGTTCCAATGTGAATTTAAAAATATGAATGTTCACATCATAAAATTGCTAACCGTTCAAAAAATATTTATAAGGGTATCAAAATTAAATATAAGGGCATAAGTGTCTAAGAAAATAGTGTAAATCAAGAAAAATGACTTTATGGAATAAAACTATACATACATGGGACTAAATGGGTTAAAAAATTCCTTCATAGACTTCTTGAGTTAAAATACTTCTAAATGGAATTTATCAATAAAAATCCCTATTTTGGTATGGTGTGTAGATATATTTTTTTCATAATTTCTAAAAACGACAAATTTTCCTTGTTTTCTCCCGTAGTTGGATAAAAATACTTATTAGTTTTGAAAAATAGTATGGAGTTCAATTTTGAACCACTTAAAACATATTTGATTAATTTAATTTTTTTTATGAATAATAAACTTCTTTGTACATGGCTTTTATTTTGGCCATTTTTACCGAAATTGTTATCTCTTGTTTTTTTTTTTTTGTGATTATGTAGGATATTTTGGGTTAGCTTGCGGGCATCAGGCTAAGTCCCTACAGCCCAAACAAGCCTTTCCAAATAGGACTTATGTCCTGCAATTCTTAGTCCCAAGATATACATTTGTTGACTAGAGAATTTGAACCTAAAATCTAAGAAAGAGTAAACCTCCAGACCTTAATTATCACCCACTAGGATATCTCGTGTTACCTGCTTGAAAAGCTATTTCGTCCTCTCTCTCGTTTTGTCCTTTGCTTTCATTATACATTTGCATGTCTTATAGTTATCATTTGTAATTCTTAATTCTTCTTCTTACGATAGAGTCTACCTGATCTCTTGATCTAATAAAATAATCATTTTATAACCTAAGGGTATGCTGTTAGGGATAATATATATATATGAAATAAAGCATAAAAAGATCTTTCAAGTAGAGTATTTAGTTTTCCTATTTTGCCTTTTCATTTTAGGGACGAGACTAATCTGGATGAAGGTTTTTTTTATTTTTTTTATTTAAATTATGCAAAGAATCTTAGTCAATTATGAAATATGGATATTTTGTTTGTGGACAAATTACAAGAGCTGCTAAATGACCCTACCTATTTACTTTGGACCCTTACTTCTTGGGAAATTCTATTTCCACATGTTTTTTTATCTCTGTGCACACACTTAATGAAAAAAAGTTAATGACAATTTTATCATGAAGCAAATCCCCCGGTAAACAAAAAAAAAAAAAAAAAAAAATCAGAATATACAACTCATCAACAACAACAACAACAACAACAAGTTTATCATCTAAAAACATATCTGAAACAAAACAAAAAAAAATTCAAAAAATTTCATCATCATCAACAACAACAAGTTCATCATCTAAAAAAAGTTTCAGAAAATAGAACTCACCATCATCAACAACAACAAGAAGTTAATCATCTAAAAACAAATCTGAAACAAAAAAAAATTCAGAAAAGTTTTAGAAAATTTC